TGCAGTGTGGGTGTTAAATGGAACAGCGAGACTCCTCCTGCCCCTTGACCAGTGGCTTGAGAGGGATGCTACCACTTGGATCTGAGCAGCCTTGGCCCTTGACCAGGCAGTGTGTAGGAGGTCGGCACTCCCCCTGCAGGAGAGGAGACTGAAGGGGAATGGAGCAGCCTGGCACTGTCTCTGAGGAGGCAGAAGCAGTGAGTCAGCAAGGTTAGGGACCACAGTGGCCACAGCGAAAGTAGCAAGTGGAACAGAATGGTCCCTCCTGCCCCCTGACCAGTGGCTTAAGAGCGGGACACAACACAGGACTTAAGCACTCTTGAGCCAAGGCGGAGCAGTAGAAGGTTGGCACTCCCCCTTTGGGAGAGGAAACTGAAGTGAGACTGAGCAGCCTTACTTGGGCTGTCTTCAAGCAGGAGAAGCAGTGAGTCACCCCACAGCTCCCACCCGACCCTGTAACAAGCAGCTCAAGAGGACAGAGAAGAGCCAGTGGAAGTGAAGAGGAAGGGCTGTGCCAAGGACTGGAGGAGCCAATTGTACTCGGGCCTGGGAGTGGCTTTGGGCTGCCTCTGCCTGAGGCAGCACAGCAACTGAGAGAGCGAGGTAGGGCACACAGGGTGAGGAGTGGGCAGGATGCTGAGGGGCATACAAAGGGTTACTGAAGACTGGCCCCCACCCACATCTGGAGGCCAAGATCAGCCCTGCACCCAGCACTGGTAACATTGCAGGAGTGCTAGGGTTACCAACCACAGATCTGGGCTCTGGCTTGAACACTAGCACAGAATTGTGGACACCAGAGGAACTTTATTATTTTTCTCTTTGTTTTTATTTTGTTTTCCTTTTTCTGTCTGGTTGGGTTTTGTTTTGTTTTTGTTTGTTTAGGGTTTTACTTTTACTGTTTGTTCTGCTCACTTCTACTCTCTTTTCCCTCATCTTTCTTATTTTTTGATATTTTCAAGAGAGTGAACACTACCTCTAGTCTTTCTGATTCACTTTAATATTCTTCTGCTTTTTCCTTCATTCTTTCTCTCCTGTCCTCTTCTTCAGTGTCCCAAAGGTTGGGCGATCATCCTTTATTTTCCAGTCTTGCTTCTAATATATATCTTTTCATTTATCTCTCTGCTTTGTCCCCCATCCCTCTCAACTCCCCCATGTGTAAAATCACTCAACTAAGAAGAAACTGTGTACAAGTTCCTGGTTTATGTTGAATTTTGTTATGTAATTATAGACCTTGCTCCCATGGCTATCAAATTAATAGTTACCACAGTTTGTCAGTTTCTAGGCTGTGCTCAATACTACTGTTATTGCTAATTGTACTACTTTAGCCAGGTTGTCATACCTGTTGTAATCAATTGGTCTTCCTTTTCTGACAGCACTGTGATTGTCTGGGTTCATAAAAATCACCACAGTCCAGTACCAAAGAACTGGGTGCTGAGGCAAATAGCAACTGCTCATCCCCAATAAATTGGGAAGGTAGGATCTTGGGACAGACATAAAGACCAAGAGCCAGCTACACATTGAAGACATCCCTGAGGAATGGACATTTCCTAGGGAAGTCTTAATACTAGTGATAAAGCTATCTACCATAAGCAACTTACAGGCATCAACAGAGAAAACAAATTAAAATTAAAAAATAGAAAATGACATCATACAGAAGGAAAATGCAACCCCAGACCTTTGGCCCACTTAGGACAAGTCCAGAGGACAATGAGATAGAGGAAACCAGAATCTACCCATCTGAACTTTGTGAAATGATAGCAGCAGAAGTAAAAAATAAAAAAAAAAAAAAAACAGATAGATGAGGCTATAGAAAAAAATCAGATTAGAAATAATCTCTCAGGTAAAAAAGAAGGTGTCCCTGGAGGTTTCAGTTAGCCACTCTAGCATCCAACAAAACAAAAACAAAAACCCTAGTTTTTTTCAGTAATAGAAATACCAAAAAAAGAAGATATTTAAAGAGTATTATAGAGGAATTCCTTACAGTAGAGCCTCTCAGACATGTAATTTATATGATCACCTTGTTTACCATTTGTAAAGTCTTCTGTAAATGTGAGTCTTCCACATTTTTTCTTTGGACTAATACAGCATTATTTTTAGCAACTATAGACATCACCCTTTGCACATGCACTGCCTATTATAATAGCTAGACACTAGAGTGCTTAAAATTTCCCTGCATTTTGATCTAGGAATGTAGTTCAGAGGTACAGTATTGGTGTAGCATGCAGGAGGCTTGGGCTGGAGCTCCATGTCCCTCAGCCCCTCCAAATTCCCTGCAGTTTATCCACTGTGCACATTCCTGTCTGATTCTACAATTTACGCCTTACAATGAGTTCTAAAACAGGCCTCTTATTTCTAGAGAGCAGCTCCCTCCCCTTGAAGAGTTCTGCTTCAGCAGCTGTAGGTCCCATGGCTAAAAAGCTATGTTAAGCTTCTGGGTTTCACAGACTGGCAACACAGGTCTGATTACACTCAGAGCATGGAAGAAAAGCTGATAAGCCCTTGAGGAGGTAAAAAGAACACAATCTAGAAATTTATACTACTTGGTTACTGGAGCCATGAAAAGTCAAGTCTATGAATTATGCAATTATTGTCCTTGTGGTAGAAGATAATCTCATACTAGATATAAATGAAATCTCCTAAGATTTTGAGGGCCATGACGGCAGGATATGGACATCTTGTTTTCATGTAGTCTCTATTCAAGTAACTGTGCTTCATAATAAGTTGCAGAGCTCAACTGTCCTTTCCGGTCTACATTCTGGGTGCTCTTGGTCTGCTGGTAGCCCTAGGTAATCTGTGGCAGCCAGCTCAGAACAAGCTGCTAGCTGAAATGCTGACTCTAAATAAAGTCCTAATCCAGACTATACTATATTGTCTGAAACACCTTTTAAAAAGGCAAGATATTATTTTGGAACTGACAAGTAGCTGGCCACTTATAATTAAGGCTTGGGCCTAATACAGCAAGTCTAAGGTTAGTCTTCTACAAAGGTGGTTGTGGTTATTATGCCTCCTGAGTCTTTTCTGTTAATCTTCTTCAAAGATAAAATACTGCCAGAAAGGCACACACCCCCTACCAGCCATTCTCAGCTGGGGTTCCTCAATGTCATGCACCTTATTCTTGGTCTAGAGGAATGAAACTATTAAAGGAGAACTCAGACGAACTCCTACTTAATAGATGGTCTTCCTAAAATTAATATAAAATCTACAAGTCTAATTTTTCCAATAATCTACTTTGTCTTCCTGGTTTTGAAACAGAAACATCCTTGACTCAGAATCTGGGTCTCAATGTCAAATGTGTATTACACGAAAACTCAAGACTAAGGTCAGCAGGTGCTAGTCATATCTGGGTAGGATATCCACGCAGATAAGGGTCTCACTAGTGAGTATTTTGCCACATACTTTCTGTCTCTCCTTATGAGGGCATTACTCCTGAGTTATAGCCCATCTCTGCTTCATTAGTCATTCATTACTTCCAAACTAATAAAGACAGTATATTAAAATCCTCACATAAATCCCACAAGGTAGATATTATTATTGCCCCATTTTAGAGATTTAAAAAACTGAAGAAACGAAACATGTTCAAGGTAAGGCAAGATCCAGGGTCCAATGCCTGTGCTCCAACACATACACTACTCTGCCTGAAATGTGGCTCAGTTGTCTCTCTGCTAGACTGTAGGCAGGTGCCCTTACCTGGTCGGGGTCCTGAGTCTCCATGAGAATAAGGCTGTATCATCAGGCCACTCTGACTTATTCAGTCCCTAAGAAGCCTTATAAATCCTCATTGGATCTGATGTGGTCCCACAAAAGTGCACTTTTAACAAGTGCCCTGGAAAATTCTTCTCATTAGTTAGGTTTGAGAAATGTTGCTCTAGGAATGTCAGCCAATGGGAACAAACATTGTTGGCCTCAAGTATTATACACTGAGTCCAATTATTATTAAGCAGATGACATTTCTATGGTTGACTTAATCAAAGGCAATCAGTACATATGGTACAAAGTGGTTTTTTTTTTTTCAGGAAGGATGTGCTGAGTGGGTTGGGATATCTTTGTGTTTTTTTTCTTTTTGAGTGATGACTGCTAGAATTCTTTAATGGTTGTGCCCGTAAGGGATTTTCTGCATTGCTCTGGTCATAGAACAACTTACATCAAATAGAAAGGATGCTATCTTTTAAGTCCTGCCTAAGAGAATTTTGGAGGAAGTTATATAAAAAGGAAACAGGAGCATAGAGCTCTCGTTCCTTGAAGGACCCTAAAGCCAATTTTTGTATAACTAAAAGAGAGGATTTATGCTTCTCAACTTAAATGAATATGAATCATATATGGAATGATTGAGGAGGATATTTTATAAGGAATTAATTCAGTGTACATAGTCTAATCAGAAGCAGAAATAATCTTTAACACTCAAAGAAATCAAATACAAAATTTTTTTTTTTTTGGTTTTTTTGGTTTTTCTCCGGTACCGGGAACTGAACTCACGACCTTGCGCTTGCCAGGCAGGCGCTTTGCCGCTGAGCTAAATCCCCAGCCCCTGAAATACAAAATTGTTGAACCTAAATTTTTTTTTTTTGGTACTGGGAATTGAATTCAGGACCTTGTGCTTGCCAGGCAGGCGCTTGTGGCACTGAGCTATATCCCCGACCCTACAAAATTGTTGAAATTCACATTATTAAAATATTGTTTAATGTTAATAAATGATCTCAAGCATGCCTGATCTGCTTTAACACCATGTTTGCTGCTCCTCACAATGAAGCTTCTACCTGAGGGCACTACTCAGCCAAATTTCAACTGCTGCATGTATGGATCAGTTTGGGGAAAAAGGAGGAAAAAACCAGAAAATATTATAAGACAGCCAAAGGGGGAAAGAATGCCAGTCCTATCTGCCCTTGGAATCCTCTGCTTCTTGGGCTTTGTTTCTGAAACGACCCACAGCAAATCAGTGGCCAGGACCTGTGCTGTGGCCAGGACCCACAGCAAATCAGTGACCAGGTACCGGATATACATACCTCTTGGTGGGAGTGGGTACTCCAGAGGACATGTGGCTAGCCATGGTGTCATTCATATTAGTCAGAGGGCGAGGAGGACTGAAAGAAATACATTTGTACTATATTAATAATTACCAGCATGGATAGAGGAAATACGTAAATGATAAAGGCAAAGTGACTATCTATCATTTCTAATAAGCACAGTGACACCCAAAGGGAGCAAGCAAAACAAATTGATACTTCAAACCTAAGTAAATCCAACAAGAAAAGATCTCTCTCACAAGGTTACAGAATCACAGAGCTGTGGGGCCAGGGGAAGCAACAAATTATAAAGACATTTCTCTGAGATGGAACCTTAGTGGCTTTTGTTTTTTAGGACACAAGGATGTAAGTTTTCCTACTTAATTTTAAATGTTAAAGAAATCCATCTGATGGTTGTGCTAATTTTACAGTTTTGTAAGTCTCTGTTATTTGCACCATTAATGTCTACCTTGTACCTGTATGTATTCCTTCAGCTGTGTCTTCAACCAACATTTTTTCCCTTTTCTTTCCCCTTCAAGGTTAAATTTCTCTACATTTCAGCTATAAGACTAGTGAGTGTCTGGCATTTGTTGTGTATCACAAAGGTCATAACTTTGAGATGCAGATTTGGCCTGACCCTATTTTCCTTTCTTCTATTTGGTTTGCAAGCTTTTTAGCAAAACAAGTTATTAAACATTCAATTTGAAAAATAAGCCTGTGGAGCAAACTTTTATTACTCCTTTACAAGAATCTTAGCAATAGATCCCAATTTTGTATCCACACCCTAATTAGGATGCTGTCTTTTGTAACATAATCCATATTTAAATTTGAAAGTAAGCATTTTAGGTAACATCTTCAGTTGGGGGTTTTCTGGATTCAAAGCCTATTTCCCCCCTCTGTGAGAGACCTGAGTAAATAAATCCAAACTTATCAAAACGAGTCTACTAGCTTGCCTTGCCATCCTTCAATCATTTGCCCTTCCTATCCTTCAATTGTTCTCCTTTCTTAGCAGGGTCAGCTACAAAAGGTTTCTGTCTTGCATCTGCAGCCATGTGAGACTATTGCCAAGTATTCCTCCTGGGAAATCTCCCACTTCTTCTCCAAAACTGAAAGTACTTCTCAAAGAGAATGGCCTACTACAAGTAAGAAAATGAAGCTGAAAAGTCCTTCTCTCTTACTTACCTGCTAAATTCCCCTTACATTTGAGGGCACAGTTAATTGTGTAGAATATTTCAGTAGTGGTTACACTTAGCAATACATGGTGACTATTAAGGAATTGTCACCTTTAACTATATTGCAGGTTTCATAGTACATTCAAATAAAGGCTCAGAGGAAATGTTTCAGGGACAGCCAAAGGACCTAGAGGTTAAAGAAGGATTTTTCTCTTTTTGTCTACCTATGTACATCACCCCCCATACCCTCCAAGCCAATTTCATAGCTGAGTAGAAAACTTTTGAAATGATTTTCTACTTAATAGAGAGGATCCAAAACAGTAATTTACAGGGAACATATTTAAGCCACTTGACTTTTAAGCCTCAGTTCTATGTTTATGGTTGTTTTTACATTGTTTTTTGGGTGACAAGTAAGACATTGAGAGCTACAATATGCCTTTATAAGTTAAAATTCAATTTCATTTCTTTACTTGACTATCTTCCAGACAGACTTTCAAGCTTATTAGTCAACTAACTGTTTTAGGTTGACTAATGATAGAAAAAAATCCAGAGATTAGCTTACTTTTACCTAAGTTTATGTTTGCCTCTGGTTCTTTCAAATCAATTGTTCAACAAAAACAAAGAGACAGTTACTATTAAAGTACCAAATTCAGCACAACAGCTTTTCACACTTGAGGGCATTAGAAATATTCCAGTTCTAGAATAGAATGGGCTTTACTTCTTTAGTATATTATTATTAGCAATCCACTTCCAAAATAAGATAAGGATATTTTCACATTGCTTTCAGAACAAACACAATTGCCTAATTTAATATCAAAGATACTACTGCAGTCAATTTCCTTTCTGACACTCTCAGAAGAAAAATAACAATAGAAAAAAAATTTTAATTCCTTAAACATGGATCCTTGTGATAAAAATTTTATGATTTGCAGCACTGTTTGGTCTGATGCCATAAAAGTCTTTTATAATCATCTCTATCTCTTGGCAGATATCATGTTCAACATACTGTATAGAGAAACCTCATCTCTAATATTAAAACTAGATGGAATGATTATAGTCAGTAGAGTCATTATAACTGTCCCCAAGATTCACACACTTTTTGGATCTCTAAAATGTTTTGCTAAAAAGATATGGATATATTTGCAGCCCAACAAGAAAGACATATTCACAAACATCAATCAGATCTTCAAGACCCAGGCGTGGTAGCACACATCTGTAATCCCAGTAGTTGGTAGAAGGATCTCCATGAGTTTGAGGCCAGCCTGTGTTCCATAATAAGTTCAAGGCCAGCCTGATCTACACAGTGGAACCCTATCTCAAAAACAAAACCAACCAAATAAAAAAGGTCTTGTAATACAGGAGTTCTACCATAGCCTTAGTTCACTGGAAAAGCCAATGGCATCAAGGCATTCTTAGAAGTAATAAACCAAAAATGACTTTGGGCTTAAAACCAAAGTCTTCACTGAAGACATAACTGAAAAGATACAACATAGGTGGGAAGTAGATATTCATGGTACAAGTTCTGACCAGTAAAATTAGCACAACCCTCAGGTGAGTTTTGTTGATCTTTAACATTTAAAAGCAGATGAAAAACCATATGATCATCTCAACAGATACAGAAAAAGCATTTGATAAAATTCAGCATCTATTCATGATATAAAAAAACCCTCAAGAAAATAGGAATAGAGGGTCTTTACTTAATCTGAAAAAGGCCATCTATGACAAACCAACAGCCAACATCATACTTAACAGAAAGACTGAAAGTTTTTCCTCTAAATTCAGGAACAAAAGAAGGATATCTACTATCACTGCTTTTGTTCAAGATAATTCTCAAAATACTAGCTAGAGAAACTAGACAGGAGAAAAAAAGAGATATGGCTAGGGAAAGAAGCAGCTAAATTATTATTATTTGCAAATGACATGATCTTCTACATAGAAGAGCCTAAAAATTCTACCAAAAGACTCTGAGAATTAATAACCAATTCAACAGTGTAACATGCTATAAAGTCAACACTCAAATACCAATAATATTCAAGTACATCAATAACAAACTCAGGAAATACTTAGGAATTAACCTAACCAAGGAAATGAAAGACCTCTACAATGAAAACTACAACACTCTGAAAAAAGGTACTGAAGAGGTTATCATAACATGGAAAGATTTCCCTTTTCCTAGATAGGTTAGAACAAATATAGTTTAAATGGCCATACTTCCAAAACTGTTATACAGATTTAATGCAATCCCAATCAAAATACCAATAACATTTCTTACAGAGCTGGAGAAAAAAATCCTAAAATTCTATGGAACCAGTAGAGATCGAAAATAGCAAAAGCAATTCTGGGCGATGAGGGCAAGGCAAGGAGCATCACAATTCAAGACTTCAAGTTATGCTATAAAGCTACAGTGGTAAAAACAGCATGGGAGCTAGGTGTGGTCATGGATGCCTGTATTTTCAGCACTTAGGAGGCTGAGGCAGGAGGACTCGCCATGAGTTCCAGGTCAGCCTGGATTACACACACACAAAAAAACCCTGTCTCAAGAAAAAAAAAAAAAAAAGAACACAAAAAACCCAGCATGGTATTGGCAAAAAACAGATTCATGGATCAATACAATAGAAGAGAGGATAAAGAAACAACTCCTGACACACTCAGTTACACATTCTTTGACAAAAGGGCCAACGCCCTTTATTGGAGGGAAGGACAGCCTCTTTAACAAATGGTGCTAGGAAAACTGGCTTTCCACATGCTAGAGTTTTAACTTAGACCTATATCTCTCACCATACAAAAAGCTAAAATCAAAATGGATTAAAAATCTCAACACTGGAACACAAAAATAATCTTCTGGAAGACAAAATAGGCAAAATTCTCAAAGACTAGGTAAAGGCAAAGACTTTCTGAATAAAACCCTGGTTGTACAAAACATAATACCAAGAATCAACAAATGGGATCACATTAAACTAAAAACCTTTTGCACAGGGAAAGGAAAAAGTGAAGAGACAACCCACAGAATGAGAAAAAATGTTTCCTAGCTACTCCTCAGAGGATTAACATCTAGAATATAAAAAAGATATATTAGATTCCCAAAATTTAAAGACCCAATAAAAAAAATAGACCCTTCTCAGATGAGTAAATACAACTGGTCAACAGACACATGAAAAAATGTTCAACAGCGCTGGCCATTTGAGAAATGCAAATTAAAACAACATTAAAATTCCATCTTGCCAGGTGTGGTGATGTACCCATGTAATCCCAGCACTCAGGGAGGTTGAGGCAGGAGGATCATTGCAAGTTCTAGACCAGCCTGAGCTATAAAGTGAGCTCAAGGCCAGCTTGAACTGCACAGCGAGACCCTGTCTCAAAAAAATAGACAAAAAAAAAAGAAAGATAGAAAGATTCCCTCTCACTCCAGAAAAAATGGCTACCATCAAGAAATCAACAAATAACAAATGCTGGTAAACAAAACCAAACAACCCAAAAAACAAACACTGGTGAGCCTGTGGACAGAAAGGAACCTCCTTCATTGGTGGTGGTAGTATAAACTGATACAACTACTATGCAAATCAGTATAGATATTCCTCAAAAAACTAAAAATAGAAATTTCATTTGACTCAGTTATTCCCCTTGTTAAATGTACTCTCAAAAGAGTTAAAAAACACCGTATCACAATGGTATATGTATACCCATGTTTATAGCAGCACAATTCGTAATATCCAAATATTTGAAACTGCTTATATGCACATCAACAGATGAATGGATTAAGAAAATGTGATATTTATGCACAATGGAGTACTATTCTGCCATAAAGAAGGACAAACAAATCATTTATAGGAAAATAGATGTACCTTGAGACCAGAATGCTAACTGAAGTAAATCAGATACACAATCTTGAATAATGCATGGTTTCTC